GGCCAAATAAAACGTAGTTACCTGAGTCTACTGCATTCACCACAGAGAGAAGATTCTTCCTTACTCCAGGGACATGGTATACATTCTTGAGGGTGATAGGGCTTCCATCTTCTCCTTCAATGACAACAGTCCCTTCCTTCTCGACCCGGTGAACTGAATTTTCCGCGGTAATTATGGCTTCTTTTCCATCATGGTGCTGAAGACTAGAAAATAGCTTCTCGTCTCCGGTAATATGGTGGCTACAACCCGAATCCACAATCCAATCATTTTCAAGATTTTTAGTTGTGGATATACCTGAAGATGCAGCCTCCACCGTGAAGCATTTCCCCCATTCTTCGTCTTCAATATGACCTTTTGATTCTGCCATATTTGTCTCCTTCAGCTTGACTCGACAATCCTTTTTGAAGTGCCCAAGCTTTCCACACCGGTAGCACTTGAATCGCTTCTTATCTCCAGTAGAAGATCCTTCCGGTCCATCGATGTTCTTTGCACCATCGTATTTGGATTTGGCTTTGAAGTTGTGTTGCTTCCGAGCTACAAAGGCGCTCCCCGAGTCATCATGGATTTTGACTCCTGCCATTTGCGTAGCTAATGACTCTTGCGAAGCTAGCAGGTTCTCGAACTCCTCCAAGGAAGGTTGTGTAGCCCATCCTTGAACCGAAGTCACAAACGGTGTATACTCAGGTCGTAGACCTCGAATAATATACCGTTTTAAACGTGCTTCGGAAATTGACTCCTCCGGATTTAGAGTATTAATCTCTGAGCGAAGATTCTTTACCTTGATGAAAAACTCTGAGATTGAAGACTCCCCCTGCTTTGCATTCGCCAACTCGTTCTCTAACAGTTGTAGCCGAGCTTCATTCTTCTTGTTGAACAACTGATCTAACGCCTGCCAAATGGAACTAGCGGATGTGCAACTTGAGACATGCTCAAAGACTCCCGAGGATATTGACCTCTTTAATGCAAACTCCGCCTTGGCATTCTTCCGTGTCCACTCCTTTGTCGCTTCCGCTGTCGCAGCAGCTCCCCTTGGTGGTGTTGTGCTACTGCCGCCGACGACATCCCATAAGTCCTCACTCACCAAGTATGACTCCATGCATGACTTCCATAACCGGTAATTGGATTGGTTTAGAATCTCCATTCCCAACCCAACAACGCGACCCATTGACTCCATACTTAGAGTAAATCTGAGATCTCAATTAATCCGATCTTGAAAAAGAACCAGATCAGAACAGCTCTGATACCATGTAAAGAAAACACCGATAGTGCCAAGCACTAGCCCAAGACCGTAATACCCGAGAGATCCGAAAGAAACAAAGACCCTCTAAGTATGAATAATAAGATGAAAGAATACTTAGAGAAAACTTGAAGGAACTTTAGAGAGAATAAGAGAACTTATGAAGAACACTCTTTCTTTATTTGTTCAACTTCTCTCTTGTTTACAAATGATGGAGTAGTGGGCTATTTATAGGCTCCACTTATTACAAAATATCTTACAAACATTCTCCTAATCTCTAGAATTTTCTACAATAATATCTAGAATTTTAACTACAACATCTAGAATTATCTATAGAATTATCTAGATATTTAACTAATAGAATTCTCTAGAACATTTAAGAAAGATGATGATTTTTAGTGATGTTTCTAAAGATTCTAGAACTTGAGCTTAATTTTGGGCCTAATCTAATAACTAATAATTATTTTATAAACCCAAAATTAAGCTTAACCCAAAATCAAATTTAACTTCAATACTTTATACGCCTATATACCATGATTTAAGTACATGATATATATGTAGTATATTCATAAGAAATGTATGTGTATTATATACATCGTATATGAATTATACAGTTTACGAAATTATGTTTTTTTACTAAATTATGAATTATATATAGCGAACAAGAAAATACAGTTTACATATACATATGTAGATTATAAATTAATTACTGAATAAAAAAAATTCGTAACATTGCACACTAAAAAAAACAAATCTGTAACATTTCATATATAATTATAGTTTCATCACTCAGTTTATGATCAGACATATCTGTATGTCTGACGGACACTTTATTCTCGTCAGTTTGATCCCCCACATTCACATAAAACTAAGACTGCATTCGAATGACTTTTTCCAGAAAAAATACAACATTTTCGATTTCAGCCCATAAAATTTATCAAATCTAATAGAAATTATGACTTAGTAGTGTCCAATGCGTTTCTGCAAAGTTCTTCATTCATACAAGCAACTACTTTTCTAAACTAACATTTAATTAAGCCTTTATTATTGCTGTTATCAAAAGCTCATTTTGGTTTACTTAAGAAAAGCCTAAACTCAGGACATTTTTTAGTCTACTGTGTTAGATAGTTGGATTGTCTTTTACACTACTCATTACATGGTCCAACCAACAACTGGTCAATACTTCTCTTTAGTTTCCTCATAAACTATTACTATTTTCTATCTCATGTTCAAGCAAAACCCAACCCTACTCACACCATTTTCAAAACCTTGAAGCATATGTGCAAGTGCAACAATAACAGACAAACGTTTTCAAGAATCACCGGCTAAAACCTCAGTTGTACTGTACATTACTTCTGCATGAAGGACTGTTTACTCTGTGTTTCATATATTCCTCATTGTCTGCTTCTTGCTCTTACTCAGTCAGTCTCAGGGATTACAAAGATATATCTGCTGATCATATTGATGAAAAAAAATTCTTCCATGTAGATCAAGATGCATAGCGTGACACGCACGCCTCTGCAACACAAAAAGCATTGTTTCTGTTACTGATAGAGAATCATATGTACTTGCACAACTTCAGCTTAGCAGCAAAAAGCTAAATATTGTTCTTTATTGGTGGAGCTAAATTGGCTCCAATAACAACATTTTTGCTTTGTGCATGACCAAGTGCATATAAAGTTTCGAGTTTTTTCCAGGATAAAGTATCGATTACCATAAAACATAATTAAACAGAACATCACTTCAAGCGTTTATCTTCAAGAACTAGTAAAATCACTGATAGATTTTTGGATCAAAAGTGAGAGACCGAAACAACAAATACTTAGCTGCGAATAAAAGAGATTAACAAGTATCATTGCAAATAGTTCTCCTAAATGACTTCTCAATCCGATTCCTCGTTGTTGTCACAAAGTAACATCATTTACTAGTAAACTAGATTTTGGAGCTGCACTTAAGTTTGATGATTTAAAAATATTTTTGACTTTAATATTATGTATTTACACAATAGAAATGAGAGAAATTAGATCAGATGTTTTAATTAATTTGTTATTCTGTCCAAATTCTATATATTGGCCAACAAAAAATAAAACATATACGCATTTTTGACATATTTTATTAGTAGTTATTATTAACATTAACTTCATTTCATTTCCTTACAAAATTAGAATAACTTTTAAACTATTTTTAGTCAAAATTTTGTATATAAAAGGTTATATTTTAAAAATATTTTGACCCATTTTAAAATTTTGTTTTAAACTTATTAGTAACATTCTGGACTAGTGTTTTATTTTGAAGCTCAAGCCAAAATTTGTGTCTAACATTTTAACACATTCGAGAAGGGACTTTTTAATTAATCCAATAGCAACACATGCAAACATGATTTTTTTATTGTCTCAAATTGGATACTTTCAAATTCTAAATTTCATGAGTGAAATCTTCTTTCGGTCTTTAGCTTCAATTCTTTGCTTTAATAATTAGTAATACTTCATAATTTTGATTCAAAAAAAATTCTATACAATCTGGTGTCTTACTGTTAATCATTTGAGAAGAAGACAATACGAAAGCCGTTTAGGATCATCTATATATAGTTAAAGATGATAATACATAAAACTAAGATATTTGATTCCAAATATTGTATGAAGAGTACTTCTATTAAGACACATATGAACAAGCATGATTTTGTTTTAGTTTTCAATCTGTAAATTCTCTCAAGAAATAACTGAAGCAATATGTTTTAAAAAAAAGTCAAACAGATTTATATTCGTAAATTATGTGGTTTTACAATTAATTTTTTTAATATTCAATCGATATAACATCATGTATAACATCAGAAAATGATGTACAACTATGTGATTCCTAAAATTTTATTTTTGTATCTATGAAATTTTGTTACATATTTTCTAAAATTCTATTTTATAATTATTTTTTAATAATTTTTTATAAGATTAAAACTCAAAATCAGTAAATTAGTATATTCCATTAAAAATTACTAAGCTCATTATAATAAACCCCAATATAATCCACATCACTTTTTATATTTGTAATTAGACGATAATATCCTTAATGAATTAATAGAATTATGTAGTAAATGTAATGACATATTTAGTAAATACCATGATAGGTTTTAGATATTTTAAATTAGTACATCTCTTTTTATAGTATAGATTACAGGTAGATATATTAAGCAAAAGGTAGAGACCAAAATAACAAATACTTAGTTACAAATATTTATTTTTATGGAAACAATTTGTAAAATTGTTAGAGTGTGGAGATATGTTACCCTATATATCAAAGTATAAAATTAATTTCAATACCTGAATTAGAATTTATAAAAATAATATTTTATTTTTATGGAAACAATTTGTAAAATTGTTAGAGTGTAGAGATATGTTACCCTATTTATAATTTTGTATACTCACTGGGAACTGTAAATTCATAACTAAGATAGAATAGTAGTAGAGTCACACTAATCAGTAAGCACACTATTACTAAAAAAGAGATCCAAACAAATGGAAACTTTTATCCAACAGCTAGATTATCACCGAATCTAAGATTCGGCATGGATACAGTGGTCTAAATCTAATGAATATCACCGAACCTAAGGTCCAGACCTAATTGAAAAAAAAAGAAACTTGAGGCAAATGTAGTAACCAAAATGCATACCGCCTCCTCTTATATCTGCCTCATCGTTTGAGTATCTAATCCTAAGAAAACATAAAGATAGATAGAGAGAACTAGAGAAGGGACAGAGAAACAAAGAAAGATGAAGAGATCTTTGTCTCATTCTTCTAATAACAGTAGCCGACTTGGTGGCTGTGACGACGAAGACGACTCGAACCGTCCTCACAATCACAAGAAGCCAAGAACAGACCGGGTGATAGAGGAAGACGATGCTGATTCTTCGGCCAAGACGATCTCTTTAGGCGAAAATGTTCCAGAAAGCGAGAAGTGGGTGGTGACTCGTTTTCTGGGAAAAGGCTCATACGGCTCTGTTTACTTGGCAGTGAGCACGACCAAAGGACAAGAAGACTCTCTTCCTAGCGAGATGGTAATCAAAACGTGTGACTCCAAACAAGCATCACGCCTTAAGAAGGAGGTAAAATTCTTACTGCATCTCAAAGATAATCCCTACATTGTCTCCTACTATTCTAGCGTGATGACAAAAGACAAGAACACGGAGGAGATGTTATACAATACGATTCTTGAGTACTGTCCAGGACAATGCCTCGCAAAGGCACTCGAAATACACAGAGGAAGAGGGTTAAGATTAAAGGATGTGAAGCAATTCGCTGCCCAAATCTTGGTTGGTCTAAAGTATATCCATGAGGAGGAGATCATTCACTGCGACATTAAACCAAAGAACATCTTCCTTGGGGCAGACTCTAGGGCTAAAATCTCTGGTTTTGGGAAAGCGATGAGTAAAGGGTCTGATGAGTACGGTGATGGTTGGGGTCATAGGAGAGGCACAGCGCGGTATATGTCCCCGGAGGTTATGGGAGACATGGTCTTGGACTATGGTGCTGATGTTTGGGCTTTTGGTTGCACAGTTATTGAGATGTTGACTGCAGAACGTGTTTGGGGAGAGGAGGTCGAGCTTGATTGGGAAGATTGGGTCGCTCTCATCGGTGATAGTGATGCAGTTCCTCTTGTCCCTGATGATTTGTCTAACGAAGCTAAGGATTTTGTCTCCAAGTGCTTGCAGAGAGACCCTGCTCAAAGGTGGACAGTTGATAGCTCAGACATCCGTTTGTTCGTGGCGTTGAAGAAGAAGAAGAAGAAGAAGAAGAAGAAGAAGAAGAAGAAGAAGAAGAAGAAGAAGAAGAAGAAGAAGAAGAAGAAGAAGAAGAAGAAGAAGAAGAAGAAGAAGAAGAAGAAGAAGAAGAAGAAGAAGAAGAAGAAGAAGAAGAAGAAGAAGAAGAAGAAGAAGAAGAAGAAGAAGAAGAAGAAGAAGAAGAAGAAGAAGAAGAAGAAGAAGAAGAAGAAGAAGAAGAAGAAGAAGAAGAAGAAGAAGAAGAAGAAGAAGAAGAAGAAGAAGAAGAAGAAGAAGAAGAAGAAGAAGAAGAAGTTAATTTGTTTTGATTTGCGATAAATATAAAATTAAGTGTTTAGAAAGAAAAAAATAAATACAAAAGAGGCACTTAAAAGCTGTAGAACTAAAGTGAGAATAAAAAGTTTCAAAGAAAAAATAAGAAAAATAAAATATAACACTTAAAAATTAATAACAAACACTTATGGAAAGGTGATAAACATAAAAATAAAAATGTTTTGAAAGAAAAAAAAAACAAAAAGGCACTTAAAGGATGTAGAATTAAGGTGGGAAGAAAAAAATAAAGTTTGGCAAACCAAATGACCCGAATTCCATAAGTGTAATATGCTTCAATAGAAAATTTATAAAAGGTAGTATGGGGCACGTGCCCCAAAACTTACAACGTGGGTCCGCCCCTGGCTACTGGTCCAGCTCGAGTTTGATGCACTAACTTGGAGCAGCCATGAATCAGTTTTCACACCATGATGCATCAGCAATAGAGAACGACGAAGGTGAAAAAGATGCAGGGACGGATATGCAGCTTCTTGAATGTACTCGACGTGTACACAAGGTAATTTTATGAAGACTTTATCACTTTATGGTATATAAGTTTGATGTGTTGACAATAGTTTTACATATCAACTCTACTTTTGTGTTCTTTAATCGACTATATTGTAATCGACTTATGTTATCGACTTGTATACACGGTATTGTTATGTAGACGTGTAACATGAACAAATATGTGTAATGTGCTATTGATAAGTTTATGTTTATTTCAGTTGTGCTTTTCTAGTTAGGTTTTTTAGTTTCAGCAAATGTTTTTTTCAGTTTCTATTGCTTCTACTCTTCTCCATCTTTCGTTTTCTCTTAATCAGACAATATAATCCCACCCGAAACGTAACATTAGATAGATTTATGTGTGACTTGAGAGAAACTACGCGTGTGCGGCTTAACGGTAGGAATCTTCAACGAAGTAAAAGAGGAAATAATTAAAGTTGAATTGTTGACCATTATACTTATACACAGTTGTACTTCATTAATTGACTTCACATACTAAGAAAAAGGAAATTTGTTTACCTTGACTAAGTCAAAGAGTAAAGACACCAAATCTATTTATATGGCCTTGGCGACTCGTTCTCAACTTTGTTTTTTCAGTATCATTACACAAAATGAGATTATTAAGAGAAAACGAAAGATGGAGAAGAGTAGAAGCAATAGTATCATGGAAATAAGAAAAGAATTATACGATGTCGCTATTCTTAAATCCTCTGCCTTCTCCGACATAATAGTAAACAAGACTTCTTCTTGGATCAGATCTCAGTTCTTTAGAAGCGACTCCTATGGTTCGGTTTAACTAGCCACAAGCGACAAAGACAAAGCGACGAGCATGGCTCTCCTTTCACCATCCGTTGCTACGGTGCCGAGATCGCACGTTAGAGCACTCTATTAGACGGCGAGATAACGAATTACAATCTGATTCTAAAGTATTGCTCCGGTGATTGCCTCGCCGGCTTAATCGAGACTAACGGAGCCTTGCCAGAGAAGTATGTCGAAGCATTCGGTAGAAATATCCTCTGTGGTCTCTCATACATCCACAGAATCATTTACTGCGACATTAAACTGGATAATATTTTACTATCCCATGTTAATAACCGGTTGAGACTGGACGAGTATATAGCAAAAATTCGGGGATTTTGGATTTGCAATGGAAAGAGGTTCGGTCGAGTAGGAAAACAGATTCGGTCATAAGAGAGGAACTAGCTGTTACATGGCTCTGGAGCATATAAGACATGGAATTGTGGATTGTGGTGTTGACACGTGGGCGTTTGGACGCACGGTTTAGGAAATGCTGACCGGACAATTGGTTTGGGGAGAATATAACGATTTTGGTTCTGATGATTTTGCTAATCTCATCAGTCAAAGCGGATCGATTCCTTCTATACCGGATTGGTTGTCTCTAGAGGCGCATGTGTTTGGTTTAGGAGCCTAGTTGGAGGTGGGGGATCGGTTCGCTCATTAACCATTCTTTTTGGATTTGGAAGTTGAAGAGTCTCATAATGGTTTTGTATATGACTGATTTGATTAAGTCTTGTTAATTGCTACTTCCTCCGTTTCAAAATAAGTGTTACTTTGACAATTTTCACACAGATTAAGAAATTTAATAAAAAGTCTCTTCTATCCCTTTTAAATACACTAAACAACTCTCTTTTTCTAATTAATATACTAAAGTTAAAACTGGATATTTGATTATCAATATTTGTATTGGAAATTCAAAACTCTAAAATGACATTTTTTTTATGAAACGGAGGGAGTATTAGTTATATCACGTTGTGAGTTTTCTTATTCGTATTTACTAGTTTTAAAGTTGCGTAAACAAGTTGTAAGAAAAAGGTTAAGTCTGTTTTGTTTTAGTATCAATGTTTTATTCTGATTCTAATTTGATATACTGTTTTCCTTTTGACAAGCATCAATGAATACGAGCTTCAAATGTTAATGATGTTTTAGAAACTTTTGACAACAATATATGGGGGAATTCCTCTTTATAACCTAAAATTTGATTTTTTCTCAATATGTAGACCCCTTATTGAATGTTTAGCAAAACTAACCCAAAGGAGTAGTGAAATTACAGCTCAGTCCTTTGTGACTAAACAAAAAACGTCTGTCACAGTTACGATTTTATCATTCGTGAAGTCTACAATCGTAGACTTCTAAAGAAGTCTATTTTTGTAGACTATTAATGAAGTCTACATAAGTAGACTTCAAAAGAAGTCTACTATATAATTAGTTTTTTAAAAATTGATTAGAAAATATAGAATAAATAAATTTATAAAAAAATAGTAAACATAAGTAAGACATATATATTTGACATGTATAAAATACAAGATTTCATACAAATGAATCAATTTAAATGCAGAAGCAAAATTAACTAGAAAACATACAACCCCTTAGAAGTATACTAAAGAAGTCTACTACATAATTATCTTAATTTTTTTTTACTAAAATTATAAAAAATATTATGATACAAATATTATAAACATAACGAAAACATAGACAATTGGCATCTATATTAAAAAAAATTTCATGAAAATAAACCAATTTATAAGTTTCATAAGTATAAGGTTGAAAAGGGTTAGGGTTTGAAAGTTCAAAAGGGTTAGGGTTTGAAGTTCAAAAGGGTTAGGGTAAGTGTAAAGTTTAGGGTATTGTTAGGATAAACCCAAATTCTATATGAATCAGAGTTTATGATTTGGTTAATGATTTAGGGTCCATATCATTGTTATTTTACATTTAAAATATGAAATGCTAAGAAAATTAATGTTTAGGGTTATGGTAACAAAAGTGAAATATATGATTTAGGGTTTCTGGTTGAATGTAGACTTCATTAGCAGACTTCATTGGTAGACGTTAAAAGAAGTCTGCTATTCAAAATAAAGCAACCATTCTTTTTAATTAGGTCAGAACTGAAATTTTTTAAACTGAACCGGAGACTTTACATTTATATATAAGCAGAGTTTAACCTAACTTTGTTAAAAATAAAATATATATCTCTCTCTAAAACGGCGCCTCCCTCTCCTCTCCCTTCTCTCTCGCCGTGAACCTCATCTTTTTCCTCTCTCGCCGTCAATCTAATCTCCCTCATCTCTCTCTCTCGCCATCAACCTCCTCTCCCTTTCCTTTTGTGCTATTAGTAAGCCGTTCGTCTAATTTATTATTTTGCTGTGTTCATATTTTTCTGTCACTGGATCTTCATCTGGTCTTCATATCGGGTTTATAATCTGAGTTTCAACATTTCCCTTTGACTTTATTGCAGATTTGTGTCCATATTCGAACATAGGAATGGGGCGATACAGCTACAGTCAACCTTCAAGTAGTTCTAGAAGGTTGTGGAGTAATGGAGAACCAGAAGTGAGCTCTACTCCTTTGCGTCGATCTATGAGTTGTGGAATTCCTAACAGATGCTACTGCGGTTTGCTTACCGTGATGAGACCAATGGACAGTGCAGACGAATATCCTGGTAGGATGTTCTTTGGATGCAAGGATTATAAGGTAAACAGATTGTTTTAGTGTTTTATGTTTTGTAACAAAATTGTTTTCATACGAAAAAAAATGTACGTATTATGTTGTTCTTGTATAGTTTGGTCCCCCTCATCTAGTCAAGTGGTGGGATGAGGCCGTGATGGAGGAATTTCAAGAGCTACGATGTGCCCTGGACAACCAAGGAGACAGTATTCGTGTCCTCCAAAATGGTGATGGACAGGAAGCACAGAATCGGATTGAGGCAGAACTAGCTCAACTAAAAGAGCTAGTTGTAGACAAGAAGCGTTTGAGATGCCTCGAGCTGAGGAATGTGATTGTTCTTTCTCTACTCTTTGTAGTTTTGATCATCTGCCTTTGTGCTAACTTGAGTAGATCTTAGTATATCATCGTATCTTTTGAAATTCATCTACACGAATGTTCCCTATTTAGACTTCTATTGTAGACTTCTATTGTAGACGTCTAAAGAAGTCTACAATTCGAATAAAACCAAGCGGGAATACCAAAATTATTCAACTTATTGAGCGGGAACCAGATAAATCCATAATAAACCGGCGCGAATCATAATCGAACCAAGTAAGTAGACTTCGCTTGTAGACTTCTATTGTAGACGTCTAAAGAAGTCTGCATATCGAATAAAACCAAGCGGGAATACCAAAATTATTCAACTTATTGGGCGGGAACCAGATAAATCCGTAATAAACCGGCGCGAATCACAATTGAACCAAGTAAGTAGACTTCGCTTGTAGACTTCTATTGTAGACGTCTAAAGAAGTCTGCATATCGAATAAAACCAAGCGGGAATACCAAAATTATTCAACTTATTCTCTATTTATTTGTGGCTGCAGCATATGGACGCCATCATGAACTTGCTGAGGCACCGGATGTCGAAACATCCGGAATGGTTTAGGAGTGACCGTATTTGCCTGCTTGATGCATTAATGGGCTTGATATGGAGTAACAAATACAAAGAGTTCGTTGATAGTACACCGAATCCAGATGGCTCAGGTAGAATGCTGCCAGCTGGT